CTGCGCCAGGTCATGGAGAGGGTCTGTCTTTTCCACCCGCGGCGGAACGGAGAGAACGGGCCCGATCGCCCGGAGTGCATGATTGGCAGACACCAGGTTACACGCCGCCGCGGTGTGAATCCGCACGTCGCGGACTTGGTGGACGGCGGCGGTGGCAGGCGCAGCGCTGGCGGGGGCAGTGGTGGTCGCCCCGGAGGAGCTGCTCGCCCCACTCCCATCCCGACGAGCGGGCCTGGTCACCGTTGCCTCGGGCTCCGACAGCGCCAAGGACAGCTGCTGCGCGGCGGTCAGCGGTGGCGCGGCGGACGTCTGCTTCACCGCCTGGGAAGTCGGCTCCACTATACGAATCGTCTTGCGGGGCCTCTCGATAGCTTGCGGATGCGGCTGCTCGATCTCCTTCCGCTTCGAAGCTTTGGGCGCCGCGACAACCTTCTTCTTCTTCCTCTTGTCAGCGCGTGGCGCGACGTCGTCCACCGACATCATGCTGGCAAGGCTGGAGAAGTCAACACCTGCGCCAATAAGTCGTAAGAGAGCGGTTAATAAGACAGAATACAAAGGAAAGAAAATATAACTAACCATCCCCAAACAGCTCCTCCAAGCAGGCTTCGCGAACACCCTTGGCGTATAAATTGATGCGGTGAGGCATGCAAGCCTCGTATTCATCGTTTAGCCCGACATAGAAGCCGACGTCCGACTCGAACCCGCGCGTACTGCCCTTCTCCCAGGAAGAGGGTTCCGCCATGGCCCCGCTCGCCCATTCCCCGGGGGTGGGCTTAACGTAAAAAAATTCCTCGAACCAAGTTTTCTTCAACTTGGGCGAGCCATACACAAAACCTTCGGGGCGGTTATCGCGCCGCTGGATAGAGAGACAATCGCTCCGCGTGGTGGCCTCCTTGATTTTGTACATCTTTCTAAACAAGCCATAGGTAGGCTCGATGTTAAGCCTCTTGCACGCGAGACGGAGACAGCTCGCGTGCATGATTACTGAGGGGGAGAGCCGCCCGACCGAACACTTGAGGCGCTCGTATATAGCGCACAATAGCGGGTCAATGGGGAACTTGAACCCCATCACCCAATACTCTGCGTATACGCCGAACCATCCTGGGGGGCAGTTGCCCACCATGCTGCGCACAGACGGGGCAGCGTATTCCCAACTGGGGGTCAAACCCAGCCCGCGGACTAACTCCTCCACATCGTCCACGTCGTATGTCGAGGAGTGCTCGGGCCCGCGCTTGAGGCTGTCCGATGGCGCCGGCTGATCGCCCCACATCTCGGCCCACTCAATCACGCGGTAGGCCGCGCCGACACCGCGCATCCCCAAGCGCGCCATAGCTTCGGTAACGCGCTCAACAGCGCGCGGCGCGAATTGCACACCCAAGTCTCCTTGCGCCATCTCGTCCGCGGCAACTTCATCATCGGCAAATTCGTCGTCGGCGACCTCACCGTCGGCGGCTCCATCATCCAAGACCGGTCTATCACCCTGATTACGCCGAATAATCAGAGTACCCCGAGCTGGCCGCGTCGCCCCCCCACTCCCGGAAGCGAGTATACCCGCATCAGAAGAACTTCCGGCCCGTCGCCCGACCTAGCATCGAACGTCGGCATCGCCGGAATCCCACCACTACTGCTGCCATCCCCGCCGTCAGATCCGCCGTTCCAATCCCCAGAACCTCCGTTCCCACCACCGGAATGGTCAGAAGAAGTATGCGAGGGAGGAGAGAAATTACCTTCTTCGCCTTGTACGACCTCGGCCTCCTGATTGTTGATGTTAGACATGATATCGACTCGAAATTGAACAACAGCAAAAGAGGAATAAGGTTGTAGAAGGAGAAGAGAAATCTCAGAGAAGGAAAAGTGAAGGAGGAGGGAAATCTCAGGGAAAAGAAAGTGAGGCTATAATCGGGGAAAACAAGTGAGCCCTCCTCTCTGCAACAATCTCATACTTATAGTCGATCAGGGGGAAGGCGAAGGGCCAAAGTCGGCCAGCGGAAGGCGAAAGGTTAAAGTCACATTGGGATCCGTAACCGTCAGATCCCACCAAATCTTTTCGAAATTCAAAAAATCCCCTCCCAAGTAGCCTAACCACATAGTGACACGTGGACACCTACGATCATAGGCATTAGTCGGCGACGCCACCAGTGCCGCGCACCGCCTGGGGGGCATGACATACCCGCGAGGAAAAGAAAAACACGCATTGCGCTGCGAAAGGAAAACAACGAGTATCACGCGCGAGTATCACGCTCAGCGAACAAAGCTCAACAACGAACGCGCAAGCGCGAGCCGCCAGTGCAACGTGCGCGAAGAAAACGACCCTGTACGCGCATCAGCGCGCGCCAAGCACCGCGTGTAACGAACAAACGAAGCCCAACAACGAGCGCGACGGCGCATGACATCAGTACAAGGGGACACCGGTCCACAGCATCGCGCACGTCTACAAGCGGAATAGGCCCAAAGGATCCGCCCCTCGAAGAGCACACCGGCCCGAGTCTGTCAAGAAGAAACCTAAACAGGGGGCGTTCACAAAACACCCCCTGATGGGGGGCAATTGTTGGGGATAAGACTCGGGCCTAATCACGCCAAGGAACCGGGCGCAGCTAAGTAGATCCCGACGCGGCGGCGCGAGGACCCCGAGTGTGCCGCCTCATCGTGGCCAACCACGTCTTGGCGCGAAGAGCTTAAGCGCCACTACATGCGCTAGGAGAGGACAAGCGTAGGCCAAATCAGAAGAGGAGAGAAGCGCACTCCTCCTCAGCGAGTGGTCACCTCAGGGTCATGAGTGGATCTCTGACTCATCCTAGGTAGAGAGATGGCCTAGAAGTCCTTAGTATGCTAGTAGTCACATCATGGGTCACATCATTGTATCCCAGTAGTCACATCATTGTATCCCCTCTTATGTCAACCACTCACCCACCACCATGAAGCCTATAAATATGGCATTTACTACGGTGGGTGAGGGGATGGGATTTTCAGCCATTCTCGCTCTATAACAACTACTTCTCTCTCTAAGAGTTCAAAAGCTCACTCTCACTTGACTCTCCCTTCCTTCTCCCTCCGATAAACCCGACGCTCGCGTTTCTTCTTGACCCAAACCCTTACTCGAACCTCCCTCCTACACTCAGTTAGGTTCAAACACCTTTATACTTATTTTTGCCGTTCTTTATCCTAAATATTTTATCTCATTATAATTTAAATGACTATCAAAATCAAGTTTTACATCATAGTATGCGAAATATCAAAGGATAGTGTTTTTGTTTAAATTATTCAAGGATTGATTGAAGGCGTTTTAACAATGCATACTTCCCTACTTCACACTTATTTTCATTTTTAAAAAGATTACCCATTTAGATAGTGAAATTGGAGCAGGGGATTTTTAAAGATATGCAATTTGTCTTTGTCTTCTTACTTTATGTGTCTCTTTTGAATTTCGATCACATTTCACACCAATAAAATATTGCACAAAAAAGTCATTTCCCTTCACTAATCTTCTAACGAAACTACCCCGACAACGAGAGTGATTTGGTAATTACGATACTGAATTCTATATTTCAATGAATGCATGTATTATATAAAATAATTTTTGTTTTTAAAGATTATATAAAATAGTTATTCCAACGTGTATGGGCATTTTATGATTTTATATTTTATACAATTCATTTAATCCCCTAAACTTTTTGCGTATAAATTTAACTAAACCATGCAGTTGCCAAACAACTCCTTAGGTGCCATTTGTATTTCCCAATCCCATGGAAATTAGGGCAGGGACAAATCTTCCTGAAAAAAATTGTCCAACATTCATATAAACTAGCTTATAACCAGGCCAATTGATCGGAATGTTTTTATTTGATTATTTATATTTTTATGTTATGTTTAAACCAATTAACCGGTTTAATTTTATTGACAATCCTTCGATCGAAATGATACATAAAAAAAGAATATGTAAGTCTAACATTCGGAGAAATACCATAATCATTTAAGAATATAAAATATAAAATGTATCATTAATTCCATTTTCATAATGATAATTAAGCCATCGTTAAAATACTATTGGTTAGTTGATTGTCAAGAAAGAGGGTATAAAAGCTCAGTGAAATTCCACATGACCATTAGATAGTTTGAAACTAAATCACCTCACAATCCTACATAAGGGTTTAATGCGCTCCATTAATGAACAATATGCCACTAATAAAAAAAAATGGGGAGTTGTTGATTCAAGTCAACTATATACTAACAACTCAGCTAAGAGGGGAGGGGACCATCAAAACTTGAGAGCAAACGACAAAATTAGGGTTATCTCCAACATACTAATAGACTTAATCAAAGTAATAATGCACAAAATTACACACTCCTTGTCTATCAGTTCCAGTAGGTTGAATAAAGAATCGACCTACTTCAATAAATCAATCAATGATTCCTCGTTTTAAGATAGAAATAGGTTGTGATAGATGTAAAAATCATAAACATAAAGATCCAATAGCCACCACTCTTCGTTGTACAACCAAATTTTCATCTCAAGAGACATATGTTTCAACCAAAAATTCAATTTCGAATACTCCTTCTGCAACTTCATTATTGATTAAACTCTTTTACTTGCCCAACTTAAATCCCCAACAATAAAACCGTGTGCCAAGAGATACTGGATGATCGATTTTCAAAGGCGGCCTTGTACTGGGAAGTGAAAGGGGCGCAAACTATTGTACGATGGAGGAAATTTTCGAGGAAGTTAGAAAGAGATAAAAACAAAGATAAAAACCACAAAATTTAAATTGAAAAATGCAAAGACACAACACGTAAAATTAGTTTTTTCCATGTTAGCCAATTACCAATTTACTTTTAGCAAAAATTAAGGAGAGAGAAAGAATTTTAAAATTGAGAAAATTACATGAAACTCTACTATGAAAATTGAAGTATCAAACACCATAAGAATACATACGGTATACTTAGTGGGCTTGCTAATCATGATGGAAAGTCCTGCGATTTTCAGAGAGTTGAACTTCGTGTATATTTTGTATTCAAAATGACACAACAAATTTGTTCAGTGTAAATGGTTCTGATTATTGTCTTTGTTTGAAGAGACCCGAGTTCAAACTCTAATGTTAATATTTTAAATGTGAGATAAATAATTAATTGTAAAGACAAAAATATCATTCCTATTTTTACTCTCGTAACAGAAAATTTGAAATAAAGAAAATTACAAAGTGTACTATGTATTATTGGTTTGTTTTAGCGCGTCTTGCGAATTACCCGAAACACCCCTGCCCGGCTGCCCCAAAATATAAAATTCGCCTATACAGCACTTGTCTCTTTCCTCTCTTCATTACCATCACCACCACTGCTACTCTCTTCACTCTCTCTCTCCTCTTCCTCCGCCACAATGCGGCCGTCGGCGGCGTCCCTCCTCCTCCTAGCTCCGCTCCTCCTCCTCTTCCCCTCCACCTCCACCGCCCACAACATCACCAAGCTCCTCGCCAGCCACCCGGAGTTCTCCACCTTCAACCACTACCTCACCCTCACCCAGCTCGCCGACGAGATCAACCGCCGCATCACCATCACCGTCTGCGCCGTCGACAACGCCGCCATGGACTCCCTCCTCGCCTCCCGCCCCTCCATCTCCACCGTCAAGAACATCCTCTCCCTCCACGTCCTCCTCGACTACTTCGGCCCCAAGAAGCTCCACCAGATCTCCAACGGCACCGCCCTCGCCGCCACCCTCTTCCAGGCCACCGGATCCGCCCCCGGCTCCTCCGGATTCGTCAACATCACCGACATCCGCGGCGGCAAGGTCGCCCTCGGACCAGAGGACAACGGCGGCTCCCTCGACGCCTTCTTCGTCAAGGGGGTCGAGGAGTTGCCCTACAACATCTCCGTCATCCAGATCAGCAAGATCCTCCCCTCCGCCGTCGCCGCCGCGCCCACTCCTTCCCCCGCCGCCATGAATTTGACCGGCATTATGTCGGCGAGCGGATGTAAGGTCTTCGCCGACACTCTCCTTGCCTATCCCGATGCTTCCAAAACCTTCCAGGTATATACACATTTCCTTTTCTTCCCCCAATTTTTTACCCAGTCGATTCAGTTCAATTTCCCCCGATTTTTTACTGATTCTCTGTTTAATTGATTGAATTTCGCTGGTAATTGTTATTTACCGTCTCTTTCTGGGTAGTTGTACTGTTGTAGCCTTGTAAGGCAGAAATTACGCCGTGTTACCTGCAAAAGCTCAGTGGAGTGGCCATGGCGTTAGTTGACTATACTATACTGATTACTGCCACATTTCGGATCATGTGACCCGGTTGACTTTTGTTGCCCCGAATTGTTGCCGTTTGTTTCTCAGCTGGGATCTAGGAAAGATTTGTTTTTGTGACTCGCGGTTAAAAATGGCGGATTCCCCTGTTTTTTGCAGGAAAGCATCGATGGAGGATTGACAGTGTTCTGCCCCATGGACGACCCATTCAAGGCCTTCCTGCCCAGATTCAAGAACCTGACCGCGGCGGGGAAGGTCTCGCTGCTCGAATTCTTCGGGGTCCCGGTGTACATGTCGATGCCGATGCTGAAATCCAACAACGGCGTGATGAACACCCTGGCCACCGACGGGGCCAGCAAGTTCGACTTCACGGTGCAGAACGACGGGGAGCAGCTCACCCTGAAGACGAAGAGCACCACCGCCAAGGTCACGGGGTCGATCTTCGACGAGCAGCCACTCGCGGTGTACACGATCGACAAGGTCCTGCTGCCCAACGAGCTGTTCAAGGACGCTCCTTCGCCGACCCCGGCACCAGCGCCTGCCCCGGCTGCGGACGCGCCCAAGTCGAGCAAGAAGAAGAAGAGCAAGTCGCCGCCTTCTTCGGATGGTGATGCTGACTCCCCAGCGCCGGCTGATGGGCCGGAGGCTGATTCGGAGGATCAGGAGGCTGCAGATGACAATGCTGCTCTCAGCAGGCTTGCAGGTGGTAAGCAGGTGGTGCTGAGCTTGTGTCTAGGGCTGGTGATGGTGTTGCTGTAGCTGCAACCGGTTGCAATGTACTATCTGTTGGTGTACTCATGGAAAGGAATTGAATTTTTTGGGTTATTTGTTGAGGGCAGGGGAATAAGTGAAGGTAGAACTGCAATGGAGCCTATTTTGTTGCTGCTCATTTGGAGGAGGGAGGGGGTATTTATGTGCCATTTTGTTCTGGTTTTGTGTTAGGGTTTGTGGGGGAGAGTCTGCTTGGTAATGGAGATGATCTTCTATTCTTGCCTTTCTGAGTAGCAGATGGCAATGGTAGTGAAGTTCTTTGGTTGAGAGGGTTTTGTATTTAGTTGTTTCATAAAATATACTATTCGGCGTGCAATAGTTGACGCCCAATTCGCGAGCTAGAAAACATGGTCTAGTGATAATATCTCTAGTGTTAAACTTGGCATTCCAAGTTGGTACTCCTTCAAATAACACCTAATTATAAAAATCAACATGTCAAGATCATCATTGACGTCCAATTCAAATAGTAAGTTATTAGGAGGCATGTTTATGGAAGTCAATTAGCAACTAAGATTGGACAACATGATCATGACATGCACGGCAAAATCGATCATGCTTCCAACAACTGCTGGAAAAAGGTTAACATAGTGGCCGAGACAAAAGCCGGGGGCCCTTCCCCATTGATCGATCTCCAACAATTGTGTTTTTAACTTTTTATGATGTTTGCTAATTCAGCAACACCGCCATTCATTTCCCAACAAAGGACCAACTCCACAACTACCACCTCCAGCTTGCATATTTGTTCCCCTCCATAACCCATCAATTAGCCACAAAATTTCCACTTAGAGAGACTAATCAAACAACTAGTATGCTAGCCAGTTAGTTAGGATTTTGTCGAAGGTGAGTTCATTTATAAAAAAAATACGCACTATAAAATAATTATATTAACTTTTTACTAACACTTCCCCGCTAACGGAAATCAAGTTATACGTGCTTAAAGTTTTCATAAATCCGAATATCATGTGCTTAACAAATGAGGTCGCCAAGATTCGAACAAATGATATCTCGGTCAACCATTCTCAATTAGAAGAGCCCTAAATTTCATTATCAATCAACTATTATACTTATTTACTCATTTTCGTCCTTAGAAGCCCCCTGCTACACTCTCCCTATCATTGATTGAAATAAAACTATTTTTACAAAGTAGCTATGATTTGGTGGAAATTTGTTGTAGATATATATTAAATACATCTTTAATTCTGGGCGGATCATATACACCATTATCATTTGTACATAGCTCATTTTAAAAACATTGAATATGCCAATAAATACCTTACAAATAATACATCGATTATTTGAAAGGTTAACCATTTTCGTCCTTAGAGTCAACTGACGGTCAAACGGATGAAAAGTTAACGTTTGGCTATGTAATAGCCAGATGCGCTCAGAGCGTTAGCCTAGGCCGAGCCTTACCAGAGCTCTTGTACATTTATAAGTTTACCTATGCGAAAAGGTTTGATTATTATTTTGTTTAAAATGAAAGGTTTGGCTGTTACATTGTATTTACCCTAATAATCTATTGAATTCAAGTATAAACGTTAGGGAGTTAACTTTAAATATTGCATTTAAATATATTTAAATTGATTTGTCATTTGATTTTAAATATTGCATTTAAATTGATTTGTCATTTGATTCGACAACCTTGGATAGGAGCGACTCTAAGCATCGATTTGTTTGTTGATAGTCCAACAAAATACTCACCGTTTGCTACCATTCTAAGAAGAATAAAAATGGTGGCTATCTGTAGGGTTACAAGCTCGAATTAGCTACTACTCTCCAATACTGGATCAGGTTTTAAAAATTTGCGCTAGATATGGAAAAACTGCAACGTTCGAGCGATATGGCCAAGGATAAGAAAAGACAATACAATCATGGACAATTCTTATATCGCACCGACCCAACTATGCAACACACACACAAGAATTTCACAAAAAAGGATGGTACCCTGTTACAGAATCCAGCCACTGAAATGGACGCCTTTATTGCTACTACAATATCACCACAAACGGAAACCCCCTAGAGAATACATAGCAGCTTTGAGAAGCTAGAGCAGAGCAACAATGGAGAGCAACAATACCACAACCAAAGTGAAGCGGACAGGCGAGAGAGGAGCAGAGTAATTATCCACAGGCTGGTATCCATACCCAACTGGAGGGGTGATAGTAGTAGTTGGATATTGACAGCACTGGACCGGTACAGTTGTGCAATTCAATGGCGGCGGCGGTGGAGGACCAACATCTGAAGGATAAGGCAGCACCGGTGATGGAGGAGGCGGTGGCGGGTTGAGGCGGTGGCAGGCGAAAGGGCAGATTGTGCAGTTCATGCAGCCTGGAGGTACCACATCCCAGTTGACATTTCTGGTTAAAGACTAGTAGTACCACCAAGAGGGCAACAAGTAGGCCATGGGATTTAAGTGCCACCGCCATGTTACTTTGTTGCCCCCACTTCATGGAAACAAATGGAAAAGGAGAGGTGTTGCAGAAATTGGTTGGTGGGTTCTGTGCAGGGGAATGTGGAGTAGCTGACACAGAGGAGAAAGTGACGAAGAAAGGAAAGTACCTCAGTTTCCTGCAGTCTTCTCTGGTAGAAGTTTTGAACCATCTTCTTGAAGAATCCCTCCTATGGTTCGGCTCTTGTGCCGCATGGCAGACCACCTGTCCAGTTTACAAAGGAAGTGGACTACAAGGTTGACGTATTTTCTTTGCTTTCTCTTGCAATGGTAACAAAAAAAGGACGTAGATCCATAACAACGCATAACATAAGAAACACCATAGATTTTAAACCCGCTTTACAAACTCAGTCACTACACCATTAGTACGTCCTTGAAAGTTGACATCACCATGAAAACATTCAAAAGATGGAGTAAGAACACATAACAACACAGCCCTCAACTCTCCTACAAGTTGAAGTCGATAAAACCATCATTTGCATATAACGAAATAGCAGAGCAGCAATTGAAATATCAGATGGGAACCAAAAAAGTGCAGGGGATTTTTTGGTCTCATTCCGAGTCTGATGAGTCATGTGTTTCACTCTGTCTAACGCTCCTCTTTGTTTGGTTTGTAGACTTTGGCAGAGAAGATTCGCCCTCGAAGAAGATGACTTGAGCTTTAGCCAGCCTCTCCTCCAACACATCCGTGCTGAAATCATCAGTCCCACCGAGCTGATCGAATCCAACCTGCCAGGATTTTGCACAAAACAAATTTAGGGACAGTGAAAGTAGAAGGGAGGGGATGGTTTCGTTAGCCCCACTCCACCATCTACATGAATGAACAATCGTGCAGCAACGAACGCACCACGTAATCGTCAACTTTGGCTTTCTTTATGAGGGCAAGAGTAGGAAGAACCACAATCTTGAGTTTATCAGCCAAGAAGGGGCTTTTCTCTGCTTGAATCTTCACAAATCGCGTCTCTATGTGCTGCTTCGCGAGTTCAGCTAGATGCTTGTCCATCACCTGCAAATGAAATGAAACACAAATATGAAAAATGGATAGATGGATTACTTATCTACCAAATTTCAGAATAGCTTCTGTCTTCAAGGCAACACAATTGAATAACCCACTAATTCAACTGATAGGTGAAGGGCAATGAATGAAACCCACACAAAGCTCCATATACAGTCCTTTAAGAACTTTGATCCAATAATCAACACTTACACAGGCAAGTGAACGATCAATCATATCAGCGGATAAACAATAGATTTTCAAGCAAAGTTCGTTTTTTTATAAGTTCAAGCGAAGTGCGTTCCACTATCACTATGGAGTGCATCAGAGAACTCAACTGATAAGACTTATCCCAGAAGAGATTCGCTAGAAACAAAAGTAAAACAGAGCTCTAATAGGCCATATCTATGAAATCTCCATCACCAAAAGAAGGGAATTGGAGAATCTGCAATCCCCATTTGCCTGCTAACTCAATTCTATTATAAATCTCAAGCAGGCGATAAAAACACTCAATTCAAACACCTAGAATCCTTTCGGGCCTGTCGAAATCTGATGATGGGTGTTTTACCTTGCAAGGCCAATTCTCGCGATAAAAATGGCAGACGACGCGGTCGCTGGCTTTGACGACGGAGAAGAACTCCTTCTCGGCGTGGATCTCGGTGTACTCGCCGTGGCCCAGAGAGATCCAGCGCCTACGCTTCTCGGCCATCTTCTTCATCTGCTGCAATCTCCTCTCTCTCAGCACCTCCAGATCGTCTTCGTCAAGCTTGTCGAGAGCCGCGATCTCATCGTCGAGCTGGTCCTCCACCGCCTTGACTACCGACAACACTTGCTTCTCCAAAATCTGGAACCCGCAAGACAAGAACGAAATATACGCAAATCAGAAATGTGAAAGAGGTCGACGTAAGAAAGCGTGATGGTGGAATGAGATGTACTTCTTGAACCATGGAGTCTGCCATTGCTGGGATTTAGCGCAGATCTTGGCTCCTTCTGATTGTTCTCTACGCTGAAAACTCGCCGTCAGTGGCCGGGGATGGAACGTCGCTGGGAGGCAGGGGAAGGAGGATTTGTTCCGTTTTGGTTTAGGTCTTTTTTTGGGTTCAATCTTCGAAGGGAGGCAGGCAGGCAAGGCAACAAAATATGTCAGTCGAACAAAACAAAATAACATATACTCATTTTTTTAAACGCAACATTTAACGTAAACAAAAAATATTTGAATTTTACAAATAACATCAATATTTGACTTTCAAATTAATGAAATAATATATATAGTCATATTTTTTAAATAAATTCACCATAACAATATCATTTGCTCTAGAGATTGGAAATTCGATTATACGGAACGCAATAATACCGATAGTATTCCAGCTGATGAAATGTCGGGCAATTGAACTTGATTTCATGACCGACACCATTTGTACCAGATTCAATCGGTCGACATTCCACCGGCATGACAAGTTGACAACCATTGAGGGAGGGAAGAGTATATGAAAAGATTTTAGGGTGTGTTTGGATAGTAGGATTTGGATTTGGTATTTGTGATTTGGATTTCTAAATGTCAAATCATTTGTTTGGATATCCATTACATTCGGTATTTGGATTTGTGCCAAATTCATGGGGTGATTTCCAAATACATCTCTAGTGTATTACTTGTCCATTTTAAATACATTTCAACAACTAGTGATTTGAAATTCCTCCTAACAAAAGATATGACCTATTTGTAAAATTTTAAAAGTTTAGATACTATAGTGCGAGGCAAAACATATGAAGGTACCAAATTGTAATATTGCCACCATATTTTCTGGACCTTTTGTGAAAAGGTTTAGATACTAAATTGTAAGAAAAATAAATTTGGATATCAAACTGTAATTTACCTAAATTTATAGGAAGTGGCCAGAAAATTCAAAATTAAAATAAAAAATCATAAACTCTGAAATACAAACAAATCACAAAGGAGTATCCAAACAAGGAATTTG